ACAGGAGAGTGTGTGTGTGTGTGGAGGGTGTCTCTTCTCCCAAGGGACAAGTGATGAGAGAACAGCCTCAAGTTGTGCCAGAAGATTGGCTATTAGGGAAAACGTCTTCCCGGAAAGGTCTGTCAGGCACTGGAAGGGGGCGGCCCGGGGCGGGCCCGGGAGGGGTTTCAGAGCCGTGTCGATGTGGTGCTCAGGGACATGGCGTAGTGGTGGGACAGCACTGGACAGTGCTGGGTTATACTTGGACCTGATGGTCTTCAAGGTCTTTTCCAATCCAAAGGATGCTGTGACTCTCCAAAGGCAGTTGTCTATGACAGGTCAGTCTCCTGAGCGCTCTGTAACTGAAGGACACAACTTCTTGTTTCAGAGGAGCTGGCTGTGGTGGTCTCTGCTTCTCTCAGCGAGCATAAATGTTTTGTTATGTTTGATAAGTGCCCTGTTTACTCTGCATGATTTAATCCCTTTATCCTGTGGGGCTCATCTTTCCCCTTATGTAGGCGATAACTGAGATAACCAAAAGCATGTCCAGTGGGAGGTTGTTTATGGCCTTGAGAAGAAAGGGTTTTCTTAACTCCAGTCTGTGTAAGTCATCCTTTCTGACGGCCCGTCGCTCTTCTCAACACATTTTTAGTTGTAGAGTTGTAGGTTGGACCACTTACCTTCTTGCACTTCTCAGACAGATAAATAAAAAGGGGCTTCATTGAAAGCTGCTCTGTCTTAGAGCTGGTTTGCCTTCAGCCTCTTTGCCATGGTTGCAGCACGTGTGGCTGAGGAATTCCCTCACTGCGCTGGTAAAAGCACTGAAACCTCTTGTTAAGACTTATAATGATCATGGTTAAGAGTTAACTTTTTTTTTTTTAAGTGGTTTAATGAGAAAGAGCCTCTGTTGCCCATTTAACTAAAAATCCCTGTGGTTTGGGGCCTGTATGAGCCTAACACTGGAAGTTGGACCAATTGGGAATAGGTGCTGGCAGCGTGGAGAACAGACTGGGGGAGCAGAAGCAGTGACAGCCGTGCTGGGGCAGGTTCCCACCTCTGCAGAAAGCCTTTCACGAGGCAGAGGGATGGGATAATTGCACTTTGGCCTTTGTATCTTTTTCAATGGTGGAGCATTAACCTGACCTCACAAAAGCATAATGGCTCAGTTTCGGCCAGGTGACTCCCACGCTGCTGTGTGTAATAGCAGTAATCTAGCCAATACTCGGCACTGTTTTGCCCATGCAGGAAGGCACGATTTTCTATTTTTTTCTAAAAAGAACTGATTTTCTAAATTGCGCTGGTGTTGCTTTTTGAGATATCTGCCATCTCTACCCAGATGATGATTAGGCTCACTGAATGTAATTATTTTAGATGAGGCCTAAAGCCCAGGTCCACCTGGCTTGAGATGCCCCAGGGAATAGAATTTTGAACTGGGCTGCCCTCGTATTTTGTTAGGGAAGGATAAGCCCCTCCACTGGGCAATCCAGATCTTAGGTGGGTTGTGCCTGGCTTTAGGAAGTGGTTCTGTCTCTCCTCTGGTGCTGAGGCTCCTAGGGTAGTGTGTGCTGGGGCGTGTCCTCAGTGAAATTACTCATTTTATGCATGCGGACTTTGAATCAGGTATTTGTAATGTTTGTCTGTATGCTAACAAAGTAGAACAGAGGTATCGGTACCTATTAATGACAGAGCTTTAGGACATGACTTCCTCGCTTTTTTGTAGGTTGGAAGATTATGATGATCTTATGCCGATCTGGACACGTCAGAGTGAGGCCCTGAAAGAAACCTACGGTGAATATTTCCTTGCTGATCTCCTAGAATGTCAGGATGAAGAAAACCAGGCTGTTGTGTGTGAGGTCAGTCTGCCACGAGCTCTGGTTTTGTCTAATCATAATGTTAGTGATGTTATGTGAGTGACAGCTCAGTGAATAGAAAGAACAAGCTCACTTTTGGAAGGCATAATTCATGGTCTGCACACACATGGTGCCTTTTACCACGTATTTTGTGCCTTTCCTTTCTTTAGGAGCGATCTCTCCCGTTAAGTAGATGAAGCAGCAATGCCCAGTGATCATCTAGGTTCTTCCAAGTTATGGCAACAGATCATCTTGAAGAAAGCACGTTGCCGTTCTACTAATTTGCGTTGTAGATGACTCATTTTCATTCCCAGTGAAAATTAATATTGCATGTGAAAACTAGTAGCCAGTAATACTTTATTTTTTATTACTGTAAAAAATGCAGTAATAAAAACGCCTGGTGATTTTTTCTGCCTCCTGGCTTGGGCAGTCAGATTTTGCTGAGTTGAAGACAGGAACCTAGGAATTAATTTAAATAAGAAAGCGGTGGTAATAGTTACCCTGATGAAAACTACTGTTAACATTTTCACGTGTCAGTAATTGTGTGTGGTGTTGTAAGTCGATAGGCAACGCAACCTCATTCCAGAAGGCCGCTTTCATAGCAAATGACTTTATAAAACCTTAGCATGGAATTACTACCGCTGGAAGCCAAATGGGAAACAGTAAAGCATTAGTGTAACAGCACATTACAAGTGGCTGTCTTCATAAATAATACATGTCAGCTGTATGTTTCTAGCTCGATATGATACCAGCAAAAGATGTTTCGGGCCCTTGCAATTTATACTTGCCGCTGCTGCCGCAGATTGGAAAGACAGCTCCATGCGAACCAAGATAGATGCCAATTTTCCCTGCAGAGAAAGAAGCTGGCAACCTCTTTCTGCACATATGGTAGATGGATTGGTTAATCAGCCTCTGCTGAGCCTTGGGCCTAAAATTACATAGCAGCCAGGTGACTGCAGCGCCCCAGCTTTTGTTCAGTTACGCACAAGCAAACAAACAATCACTTGTTGTTTGAGGGGGAAAAAGAAGTCCAACTTTTATATATATTTTATTTTTATTGGAGTGCTGATGGCCTGATAAAACAGCTACACGAATGGAGCCCTTGATTTTTCATTATGTTTATAAAGGAGGCTTTCATTATGTGTATTAAGGCAAAAAAGATTTGGATGATGTGTTTCACCAGCAAGTTGTGTAGAGAACTGAAAAGTGAAGAGCTTCCTGCCAGACTCAGCTGAAAGCCAGAAGACCTCCAGCATGCCCGTTCTCGGTTTTCAGAGAGTGTTTCTTCCTGAGGACTGTAACTTTCTGGGAACTTGCAGTAGCAGTCAAACAGGCAGCGTATATTTGTGCCATTTCAGCGCCACTGGGATCTGCTCACTCTCATGCTTGCCAGGGCATTAGTTTTTTTCTAAAGACTAGTTTGTAGATTTTTTCAGAATTTGGAAATATTTAGTGCTTATTGCTGGATAATACACACCTGCTGTAGTAGATACTGTTTATGGACTGTACAAATTCATCATTTTCATAGGAAAACAAAAATACACTTTTCAGTTGGAGCACAGTTTTATTCACAGTGTCCAGTCATTAGTCACCGTTACAGCTAGCTAAATCCAGATTTCACTTCAGCTGCACTACAAGTTAAAGAAAAATGACACCATTTTGGAGGTGTTTAGTTAAAAAGTGTCTGGTTTTTATTTACTGTAACATGTTCTATTGACACAGTAGGTCATTAGCTCGTCCATATTATAATTATTTTCGTTAGCTATGACTTGTGAGAGCATTTGGATTAGGATTTCTATGTTAGATATATATAATCCACACATTGCAAGAGAGAAAAGAAGTGTATCTTGAACTTTGGCTGAAATAGTTCCTTTATACTTTCCTTTTACACACAGCCAGCGATGGAAGAGTAACTTGCATGTTTCAGAAACCCTTTTTGTTCAATTTTTTGTCCTGACCTAAACCAACAGGCTCCACTTTTATGTGTGACTTTGCTTTTCTCTTTCAGGATGGTGACACTGCAGTAGGATTCATGAGCTTAAGTTCTCAAGTAAACGTTTCCTTGCTTCAGGAGTGTTTTCACTTGGGGCTTTTCCATGGACTCTGTAAAGCACATCCTGATGATATCCTCAGAATGCCAGAGAAGCCAAGCTGGCAAGGAGGTACCTATGTTCTGAAACGCTAGATGGATTCAAGGTGCCTTTATTTCTAGCTTCTGAGTAGGTTTTGCCAAAGGTTGGCAGAGGATATAGGTTTACTAGCAAGACAACACAAGTTCATGTATGTGCTCTGGAGATGATTGCCTGCTGGATTTTAATTCAGGAGCAGGAGTGAAGTTTTGATAGCCCTGGTCTCTGACTCAGAAGTGATTGTGTGCGGGGAGCTGGTCTGTACCAGGAATGGGACAAACCTAGGTTGCCAGTTCCAGGAAGCTAAAGCATCAGGTTTATTTTCTGTCAGTTAGCTGCAGTTGTGCTGTTAATGGAAGACTCGAAAGATCTGGCTCTGATATCTGGCAGCAGCCAAGCAGCTGTTTACCTGTGGCTATTATGGGCTCCCATTGGCCTGTGTCACCTCATTTCCCTGTGCTCTGCCTTCTGCTCTCTTTGCTTGTTGTCTGCCAGGTTACAAGATTTCAGGAAATCAGGGGCTGTTGATGCAGTTTCCGTACTGGACATGGCTGAGTCTTCAACCCACCTTACTGCGAATGATAAAACCCAGCAA